AAAAAAAAGTCAGTTTTGATTACAAAGTAAATGTTGCAGCTCTAGACAGGAGCTACATGCTGATATGCATTCTATCAGAATGATTTATGCAAATTATGCACATTATTCCCGTAGGAATTTCTTCTGAAACTGCCAGGATAAATTGCCGGAAATTAACCATAAAATTCACTGTGCAGGGAGCACAAGGTGAAGGCCACAGGGAAACCAAGGACACTGGGCTGGGTGCTTATAAACCTAGGGTGATACTTGGATTTATGCACAGACCTGGATGTGGATTTCCGTTCGTCATTTACTTTTTGGTTTCTGCATTCTTCGAACCAAGATAATTTATGTATTTTATTATACACTCTAGTCTGATTTAATCAAAGGAAAGACTATGTTTGGGAGTGTTTCTATAAAATTGCTTTAAGGTCCTATTTTTGTTGATCTTCCTAGGTTGATGCCCATGTTCTTTTGTTTATTTTTGAGCACTGTTCAGTAGATTGGTGTTGCCTTATCTGGCTTATACAGTAGATGGTAAAATCAAGGCTTTGCGCATTTTATGGCATGGGAGAGGGATAAACAGTATCTACAGATTTAATTGAATAATTTCTCAGTGGCTAATGTCTTTTATGGTTGGAGCAATGTGTGGGATTATATTGTTCCTACCTTCATTTAATGACTGATTAGGAATGTGTACTGGTAGCAGACTTTAGCATCATGTAAATGCATCTAATCACTTGAGATTATGCTCAGGGTTATTTTTTACTCCAGAAAATTCATTGTTGATTAAAACACAAGTAATCCAATTCAAACAAGCAGTGAGAAACAGGATAACACAATTTATGGATTTTTATAAGTATTCATACTGGTTAGTCATAAAGTCCTGTACAAATACAGAAAAACTGTGAGGAACTGCAACCCTATTTTTATATTTTTGGGTCAGAAAGAATCGGAGTTGATGATTGCATTTCAAAGACACAATGTTTCAGCCGTGGAGCCTTCTTCAGGTGTGAACACTTTCAGAATGGAATAAATCTTTACCTGTTCGTTTGCAGCCTACGCATGCTGACACAGCTCCCTACTTGAACTAAATCATAACATGCTTTGTATGAATTAATTTATAGTTGCTGTTTATTGTTGCTCACGTTTACTTAATGACATGTATTCTTGATTTATGGGTTACCACACATTCTGGTGGCAGAGGCAGGTATTCACAGCCCTGGCAGCCTCCCTTGGAAAACCCGCGAGAAGACAGTGGAGCTAGTATTTTGTGTCATTGGCTAGAAATGTTAAGCAACTCGTAATCCAAATCACTGATGTACTTCTCCCCCCAATTTAGGGAGCGCGATAAATGAGAGTTTGCGCCTGTCTTCAGCCTCTATGAACATCCGTATTGCCCAGGAGGACTTTTTTCTGGAGCTTGACAAAGACTGGTCCGTTGGCGTGAGAAAGGGAGATATCATAGCGCTCTATCCCCAGAGCATGCACATGGATCCAGAGATCTTTGAGGATCCAGAGGTACTGTAGGAGCAGCATTCAGTGTGTGTTTTCAGTTGTGTGCTTCAGTCACCTCTCACTGCTGAGATACTTGTTCTAGGCAGAATAACCAAATCATACAGTAACTCTTCCGTTTGGAACTAAATTTTACTCTTCCAGCACAATAGAATGGTCTTTTAGTTCACATCATTTAAGGCTTGAATAAAACAAAATATCTGGATTACAGTGGCTGTTGTTAAGTTCCCTAAACACGCTATTTCCTTCCCTTGAAACTTTCTTTCCCTTGAAACCTTTTTTTTCCAATGTTAAGCAAATGGGCCGATTGAGGAACCCAGAAAGGATGCATTTAAATGGCATTTTAGTTTGATCACAAAGGATTTTTTTTTCCCCCAAACCATCATTAAAAACAGGACTAAATAAATCTGCTGAAATCAGAGTACTGTTCATTGCTGCGTGAAATTTACATTCCTTCCCCAAGACTTTCTGATCATTTGGTATGGCAGTGTGAACTTGAAATCGTAGATCTATTGAACTGCAGTGAAGCTCTGAGGGTAATTGTGTCATCTCCTTGTATTTTTCTGAAGCCACAGTTAATGAATATCAAAGACTAGAAATTAATCCACCCTGGCTCGGCTTTAATGTGGCTTCAGAGGGTTACCACCTGCATGCAAATGATTTCAGATCATTCTCATTCCCGGCTTCCTATAAACTTTCAAGCACCAACAACTAGCTAGAGCAATAGAAATACTGTAATTTTAAAAAGATAAGAGGAGTTGCATGCCAATTATATATTGAAATATATGTCTAATTTCTCTTATGAACAATTTAAATTCAATTTGTAAAGTGCTTAGCATTTTCCTTGGTTTAAAATGCAATAATGTAATTATACTGTGTTAATTAAATTCATTCTTGTGTTTCCTAGTTCTGTAAGCTTTCTAAATGAATGGAAATAATGTATCATGTTTCGAAATGGATTTTAGTCAGTATTGCTCGTTCGAAGCACCTCAGCATAATATGTTGAACTGATTTTCTTCCTTCCCCCAAACAGATCTACAAGTTTGACCGTTTTGTTGAAGGTGGGAAGGAGAAGACCAACTTCTATAAGCACGGCCAGAAACTGAAATATTACTGGATGCCATTTGGTTCTGGGGCTACCAAATGTCCTGGCAGGTATTTAGCAGTGAACGAAATAAAGCAGTTTCTCTCTCTGCTGCTGCTGTTTTTTGAGATTGAAGAAGTTCCAGGAGAGGCACAAGTGAAGCTAGACAACAGTCGCGCGGGTCTCGGAATCCTGTTACCTGACTCTGACATCCATTTTTGTTACAGGGTTAGAAATTGTTAAGGTGAGGCATGCCACATATTCTTCAACACACAATATGCGCATACTCTGAGCTGTGCATCTGATCTGGAGTTTAACAGTGCAGCAAATTACTCCTGTGTCTGATGGGAATTGTAATCCTCAAGAAGCGATCATCTGATTATCCCACAAAGAAAACATCACTGGAAAAGAAAGACTTAACATTTTTGTTATCGAGTGAAAGTACACTTGGCCCCATTTAATTCTGAAGAGAGAAAATACATGATCTGATGCTAGAATTAATAGTCATTATTTTTCTGGAGTCTGAAATTCCCTTTAGCCTCACTAACATGGCTTCCTTTAAGGTGAACATGCTTGAATGATTGAATTTATGTGAGATTTTGGTGATTGTCTGAGTTAATATCTACACTGATTGTATGACTGCTGCCGCAGCAGGAATGTCATAAACATTATGAAAGAAATCCAACAAAATGTAAAGGTATGACTGTCAGGTCCAAATTGAGAATTGCAAAAAAAGAAATAGCACTCAACAGGACTAAAAAAACCTATATAATTAGCCCCTTCTTTTTAATCCAACAATCTTACAGATTTTTGCTTTGTTTTTGCTACAGTATGTCCCTTACAAGAGAGTTGTGGTTGTAATGTCTTTCCAACCTTATAGAATAAATTGATCATCTGCAGAGAAACTCTCTTGTAAGGGACAAACCTATATAATTAAAGGTCATAATTATATTTGACGTCTTGTCATTTAAAAAAAAATATTAGTTCTTTCAAACAGAGAAAACTAATAATCAACAGAACTGGTGGTTTGATTTATGGAGCTACAAAGTTTTGTTTGACCGTAAGTAAATAAATTAAAATCCAGCTGGATTCAGCCCAAGGATCAACAAGCTTTGGGGACCTTTAAATTTCAAGGGTAAATCATTCACAGACTGTAGATGTAAATGTAACATCTACAGTCAAACACAGCAGTGCCAGTTAATAGATATTTGATTGTATATCTTCCTAGGACTTGGAAGGTGATGTTTTTTGAATGAGTTTTTCCTGTTATGAGAAAATAAAAAAAATAATGGGACTAATAAAACATCTGTAGTCCTTTGGCATCAGGACTAAGGTTTAATTTGTTCCCTCTCCAGATGCATTTATTTGAGTGGAATAACTAGAGCTGTATCCTGAGAGGCACTTGTGAATGATTTACCCTTGAATTTTAAAGGCCCCAAAAGCTTGTTGATCCTTGGGCTAAATCCAGCTGCCTCACTCTGGCCCACACCATCACGCTCAGCACTCCTCCAGTGAGTATGAGCAATGAGCGGTTGTGTCTATGAGCATCCTGCATGGATGCCGAAACAAAGGAGTTTCAGGTTAAGGTACTCTGGAGTGTCTCATTTTTGTCTTTACAACCTTATAGAATAAATTAATCATCCGCAGAGAAACTCTCTTGTAAGGGACATACTGCAGCAAAAACAAAGCAAAAATCTGTCACATTGTTGGATAAAAAAAAGGGGGGGGCTAAAATTTATGACCAGTTTTGTTCTCGGATTACCCGAGTCTGATTTTATGTCTTTCATAATATTGCAGGGGCTGTTACTTTGGGTATTTCACTGAGTTTCGCTGTTTATTACCCATAACATGCATTTCATCTTCAAAATTAAACAAGGTCCTGAAAACCTGTGATATCCTGAAAGAGATGTTTCGTGGTTTATGATTGGAGATATTTATCTTTGTTTTATTTATGATCTGCCTGCCTGCCTGTGAATCTCTGAAAGACAGTTGTCAAGCTGTTCTCATTTTGAATTACAACCAGATGAAAGCAAATTGTAAAACATTTTTAGGAGCGTTTAACTTATATTTTAACCCACGTTGTTATCAACTCTTAATCCAAGTTTTTAACAATTTATAAAATCAAGCTCTCCATTAGTTAAATTGTTAAAAACCTTGGGACAAAAATCTTTGTTTTCATAATGTGGAACTATGAAATGTGTAGTAGAGATTTCTTGTCTCTATAAATTGAAAGTTAAAGGTGCAGATAAAAAAGAAAGCAAAGTGGCACAATGTACTATAATAATATATAATAGAATTAGAAGCATTACCTAATTTCAAATTATATAGATCTTGTATTTCTTCTTATAACCTTTGAGAAGGTTTTGGTTACCATAGTCTGAAATACCAACATAGAAATACGGAATACAATATTAATAAATGTTTATAATTACAATGTTGAAATAAAGATAAGAATTCAGTGTAACAGAGCTGCTTCCTGCTCTGTATGCTTTGTCATTTAAGAAGACATCATTGGATTTTAGGAATTAAGAAATAGGAGTCATTACACCTGAGCTATTGTACCTAACTGTTTAACATGGATAAATGATTTGTTATTTAAATTTCTGAAGCCCAGTTTACAAAGGTTGTGCAGACATTTTAACATTTTATTACACTTAATTCCCAAAAGCTTACTAGTAGGAAAGCATGGATGTATTACAAACACAAAATCAGCATTGTGAGATGATATAGCAGGAAAGGTACTATAGGAAAATAAAGGCTGGTATTACATCTCTCTTAATTGACTTCAGTCTGTTCTCTAAGCAAGTTAAAACTCCAATTAAAGAGTGTAATATGATCATATACTCCTAGATAGTGGTGTTTTGAGATATTCCCTTAATCAAAAATGGAATAAAAGTAGTCATACTGGGAAATTATATCCCTTGGATTCACATTTTTGTAGCTCAGGCATCTAAACATTAATTGCTGGCAATATTTACATTCTAATATCATTCTGACGAAATTATTTCATCCTTCTTGCTTCATGATTCATCTCTGGTGATTCAGATAATTTAGGTACTGTGTATTGGAAACGACAGAGTAATACAGCTATACTCAGATGAAGTAATTTAAAACTAGAACTTAACTGGTGATTGAAAGTTAGAAATGTGGCAGATCTTTGAAAGGGATTGTGGATTAGAGACTGGAGGTTGATGTGGTCCCAATGAGATAAGCAGCAGACAAACAAAATACAAAATAGCAACAGAAAGAGAAAAGGAGCCCTTGGACCACATTATTTTAAATGTAAGTTTATTTAAATATTAATACGTTTGTCAGTCAGTAGGTCGTACATATGAACTTTTACACAATCAGTACTATACAATTCTAGAAGATTCCAGAGAGATCATTAATGTTTAGGCCCTTTAATTAAAGGGGCAAATTGTTTTTCATTTAAAAATATAATCGGATTCAAGTGAGGTAATTTCAGTAAAGTCTGTGTGCCATACATCTCTAAGCCATGGAAAGGTTTCTGATTATGTTTCTTTGCCTGTTGTCCTCATTATTAATACAAAAAGTAATTTTTGTGTTTTAATAAAATCTAAAAAACTGGCTCTTTTCTGATTGTTTTATTATTAAAGTAACAAAGTTTTTGTACGTTTACTAATGTTGTATGGTAGGATACATTTGCAGTGTTTTTAAGATTGTACAGTTTTGGTGATCTTCCAGTAATGATATTACTGCTCTAGAAACAAGTCAGAGAAGGGCAACCAGGTACAATTCAGTGTTTACGGGAATATTATACACTAACACACTAAAAGAACAGAACAATTTCAGTCTTAAATAGTGAATATTATGAGAGTACTTGATCTGAATATTCAAAATCCTCAAGGGCTTTGGCAAAGGCAACTTGCATCTTTGAAGGGACTTTGTGTGGAATAACAAGGTAAGGTTTTAATGAAAAAACAAACACTCCTACTACAATAATAATAGTAATGGAAAAGGAAATATAAGTGTACCAGCATGAACAGTTTGCCTTTTGTGGCTCTCCTTTCACTGTCAGGGTTCAGTCACGGTCGTTCATGGGCTCCAAGCCCACACACCACCACAGACTGCAGTTACCTGTTCCACAGCAGCAGCTTTCTGCCATGGGAAACTTCTGCACTGTCTAGATTTCAGGAGGTGACAGCACTTCTTTAACACAGTTATACCTTCAGCAGACGTTTCATTGGATTAATTCACAAGGGACAACAATATCCAAGAATCAGATGCTTTGTGAATGTTTGAGCTCAACCTGCTTTGTTCAGGCACTGCCTCCCAGCCATAGGATGAGCAGGCCTGAACCCCATTCAGAGACAGGAGATAAGGAAGAGGTCGTTGTAAGACAGAAATAATGGGCAAGAGGGATGCTTCAGACAAAAGGAAATGGAAATGTTTGTATTATATATAGATGTGTATTTAATTTCAGTAATGTTTGTGATTAGGAACAGCTGGGTGAGAGGCAGAAAGAATGGAAAATATACTGTAGTGGGCATCAGAAGAAACATATTGCAGATATCTTCAACAAATGGATTACTTCAGATCCCTGCTTTACATCCTTGGCCTTTTAAAGTTTGTCATCTTGCATCATGAAATTATTTATTTCATTTGACTTATCTCAATAATAATTTGTATGTATACCGAGCATCAAAGGAAACATCACAATTGCAACAAAATGACAGAATTATCTGGGAAATGACAATCCTTTTTGACTTAGGTACAGTGACATTTTATTGCAGACATCACATATAATGGTTATCTTAACATACAGTAGGACTTCAGTCTGCTGATTATTTGTCATCAGCAAAGTTGATTGACATGGGGCTTTCTTTAGAGTCACAGGGGTAACATGTGGGGCCGCCATTAAAGCCAATACAGCCTGTGAATCTTCAATGCATGTTTTGCTCCAGGCTACAAATACAGTTACTGTCTTGTGGGATTCTTTCCCATTCCTCTCATAAAACCAGGTCAAAATTGTGCCTGTTCACTGGTCTCTGAGCCCTAAATGCTGCATAGTGTCCTAGCTCATTTCACTAGTGTTCAGCACGGGGCTGGGGTCTCGTGAGTAGGTCATTCATTAATTGTCATCTCGTAAGAGATGATGTTACACAAGCAGCGTGAGATAGTGTGTTGTCCTGCTGGAATGTTGTCATGTGCTGATGAGCCTGCAGAAAGAGCAGCAATGAGATCTCAGGTCTTGATCAATGTAGCACCGTGCCGTCAGTTTACCATCAATCACTGCAAGTGTTCACTGGTGAAAAGACCTTCACCGTGCCAGACCTTCACATCTGGGCCTCCCCATTGGTCTCGGTGAGGTGCTCTGACCCCAGTCTCTCAGATCCTGCCTTAACATTGATGGACTGTGTTTGGGTGGAAACTGCATTGAGTTGACTTAGTCCAGCCTCAAACACATAAATAGCGTGAAGTTATTGTTCTCTTGATAAAAATGGGTAATACGGACTTCTTTATGTGTCTTTCCTCCTTACTTTCAACAGTTTTGACATTCCTCAGGTTAAATCATCTGACGCCTGGGCCCAGTCCTCACTCTCACATTACTGTGGCCCGTCACGAATGATGTCAAAAACATTCAATAACTATCCAAACACCTTATATTTTATTTTTCTAAAACATACATACATGAAAAAAGTTATTTTAATGTAAGAGTGGGACTATAGAATTCCATTCCCTTTGGAACAAAATGCGAATAATCGTGCAATTTTGTCAGACTGCTGTAAAAATGGTGCTATAAAGGCAAAACATGAAACTCTTGGTTTTTTTTTTGTTTTGGAATATAATGAGTGTCGCCTGAAAACTCTGTGTAAAGTAGATGTTTCCTTGGTGTCCTGAAAGTGGGTTGATGGGGTTCTATAGAGATCCCATCAATCATCAGATCAGATCACTTTATTGGCCATATACAATTTCTTGTATTAGGAGTTTTGTCTTTTTCACATACCCCAACTTGCTCTCCATGAGACATACAGGTGGGGAGAGAGAGAAGCTTGGGGTCAGAGCACAGGGTCAGCCATTTATACAGCGTCCCAAGAGCAGATGGGGTTAAGGGCCTTGCTCAGGGGCCCAACAGAGTAGGATTCCTCTGCCGGCCACGGGATACGAACCAGCAACCTTCCAGCCACTGGCACAAATCCTTAGCCACAGAGCCACTGCCCCTCTTGTTGAGCTGGTTTGACCCCTGAATATGCACTGTGCTTTCTTGGTCTGCTCTTACCAAGAAATCTTTAGTTCAACAACAGTGTTAATCCTTAGGTCTACTCATACTCTGCTTTTTACTTTTGTAGCAATAGTTTCTGTATACAAGATATACTGAGTTTTAAAAGTCGTATATTCTGCAATATAATTACCTGTCTTGTAATATACCTTATTTTGTTTCCTGAAATATTTTGATAAAATATAATACAATTCTGGCTTTGTATAACAACTTATTCCAGTGCTTGGCAAGTTAGTTTGCATGTATAAAACATACACTATAAGAATACACATTGAATCAGAAACAGTTGCTACTCATTTCTGTAGACAAAAAGGAAAATAGTAAAAATAGGCAACAATTGTAGTTAGTATTGTTATTTTTAATGCTTTCCTTTTTCACTGTAAGAAAACAATGTGGTTGACAACTCTTCTGTGCTGAAATGCATTTGTCTAGTGTTATAATACTTCTTCCATAAGTTAAATTGTTTAAAACTAAACTAAAAAAAAACAACACTGAAACATAAAATCTCTTTTCACCGTGTGGAACAATGAAAATGTGTACTTAAGGACTAGAGATATCTAGTCTCTAGAAATTTTAAATTAATGGTGCAGAAAAAAAGAAAGCAAGGTGACACAATATACAGTACTATAATAATATATAATAAAATTATATAGATTATCTCATTTCTAATAATATAGGTTTTGTATTTTTCCTGTTACATACTCAAATATTAATGTCATGATTGTTACTCATTCTTATTCTCCAACAACTACCTGAAATAACCTAAAGGGAGCAAAAAAGCACACACACAGATTCTTCAAACGTGCATGTTGTTAGATTAATTGCCTCTTTCCATACAGCAAACTGGAATAGAAACAGTGGGGTTAAGGGCCAGTCACCACTCCCACGGACACAGCCAGGATTCAGACCAGTGGGTTTTGGGTCACAAGGCTTATTCTGTATTGCAGGCTAGGCAGCAGATTTTACAACGTGAGCTGAACAGAGCTTCATAATGTCAAGGTTAAAGAAACTCAGAGATGTGCACTGATTGAGATTTCTTACCAGTTAAATGATGGCTTTTCAGATCCTCAAGTGCAGTCTGAATTAAATTGTTTTTAGACACTCTAAAAACTGTTGTCTGCAGGTTTCAAAATATAACAGAGTTTGAGTGACGTTCTGTGTGCTGAGGACATAGCAGAATTGTAGAAGATATAGAGTCATAGTTGAGTTGTAGTCTATAATCATCATGAGGGAAATATGGAAAACATTCAAGAATAAATTCCCTCTGCCAGTGCCATTATTTGGACTAGTCTAAAATAAAGATTTTTTTAGTATTGCTGGACCAATAACAAACAGAAGACAATAGTTTGTTCTGGGGCATCATCATTGTGAAATTCATGGGAATGCAAAATAACCTATAATTACACAACAGTGCTGAAACCTAGAGTACATTCACAGGATAATATGGTTTTGGTCTCTGGTGTTTGCACATGTCACAGTTTTATGAGTTGTAAGTCAATGGAGCACTTCCTGAACATCCAGGTGAGATCCAGGCTACAGAAGGATCTGTGGTGCATTACATGGGTTTGTTTTACCTATGGAAAATACTTAGGGATCCTTTAGAATGACAAGCAATATAAATGCTATCAATCAAGTTTTGTATTGCAGGATAATAACACATCACCTAACAGGCAAAATCTCCCATCTGTGTCTAGGTATTCCATTATAGCCTTTTTAATAATCACATAACAATAAAAGCAGAATTTTACACAATACCCAAAGAGCCAAGGTAAGTGGCTTTTGTGGGAATGTGGACACCACATACTGTGAAGGGATAATGCCAATACTTTATGTTCAGCCTTTCAGAAAATATACACATGATTTTAGAATGCCCCTTGTAATGTTCTGTGAAATGACTAAAAAAAACTAAAATGAACCTGAAATTATTATTATATATCTGTAAATATAAAACAAAAGTAAGTGATAATAATATAAAATAAGATAATAATCTATGGTAATTTCACAGCTGTGAACATATTTACAATATGTATATATAAAACAGAAAAAATAACTATCTGGAATATTTTGGTCATTATGATATGGTATTATTTGCCTGAATTATTCTAGTATATAGATGTAGACTTTGTAGAATACTAGAGAGAGGATATTCATGAAAGTACAAATGTATATAGCCTTACAATGTACAGTACATCTGAAAAAAAGAATTCATTTTTTTCAGAAGAAAGCACAGCAGTACAATATGAAGTACAGCCCTACTGTGTATGATAAATTGACATTCTGCCACATAGATTTTGATAGAAGGCTACACTGGCATTTTATACAAAATGTGTAACAGACAACAAAGGAA